GTGGAAAATGGCAGCTGTACAGTGTTACTCTGTGGACACAAACACTCCAACACTCACCTATGAAGTGTGAGCAAAGTAAAAAGAGGTAAAGCAACATGTCTTTGGAGTTGTTAAAGCCAGACAGACAGCAGATGAGCAATGTTCTTCCACTGCAGTAGAATGAAGAAACTAAACAGCCTCTCTGCTGCACAGCCCTTCTCCTCAACATCAAGCTGATTGTGCTTTTAGTTCCTCAAACATTTCTGCTCTGGAGACGCAAAGAATCTCATTGGTTGAGTTGGACTTCAGTGGGCGGGGCCAGAGAATCCCCTTTTTAGAGATTGGCTGTCTACCAAAGTTCAGTTCAGCCAGTGAGATTATTTGTGCATCCAGAGCAGCTCTGCCTCAGAGAAATGTTTCCTGAATGTCCACTTTCAGTTCTTCACACCACTGTGAGACTGAGGAAGCTGGATTACCTGAAGATTTGGTCTTTACTTGGGAACATGGAGGACATTTTTTACTCTTCTTTGTTACTGTGGAGAAATTGTGATATCAATATTTTATATATTAAATCAGCCCTAGCAGGGATCAGAAGCCATCATGTCTTAGGGTGTACTCACACTATGTGATCCATACTGGGCCCGAGCACGTTTAACCCCTGACCTGTGCCGGTGCCCCCCTGAAGAGATGGGCTCAGGCAGGGTAAGGTTGGACACAGGACACATCTAATGTGATCGCTAACTGTCCTCGAGCTCTGAACTCAGACATAAACCCCATTGTGCTGTGTGAGAGGGAGCACTTTTATTCAAAACAGTAGTCGTATGTAGTGATGACTTAAACATGCGCAGGCCAGAGAGGGGGGGGACGTTTGTACTCAGGTAAGGGACAAGACAACTGGACCTTGTGTGAACACTCTCTTGATCTCCTACCTTGTCTTCGTTGGATGACTTGTGGTCAGTGACTTGGACCCTTTCCCAGTCAATGCTGTGACTGATTTTTATCTGGTGTTCTCAGACAGTTGATGTCTGTTTCTGCCACAGGTGGCATTTACACTGGGGACACTGGGGACACTGGGGACATGTCCCCATCAGTTTTTGAATTCAAAAAAACATCTGGAAAAATAGCTTGCACAAAGAAATATTAAATAACTAAACACTTTGAGAAAGGTTTATTTGCACAATAAGAAAACATGCAATGCAATTCAAATATAGAAGAAACAAATGTGCTTTGTCCAAAAAAGACAAGTTTCCTTTAACATGAATAAATACATTTCCACTATAAATTGGTGCAGAAACCAGAATGCAGGAGATGATGAGTTTAATGCTGGAGGATAACACACAGCAGCTCTGCTTTAATCTTGAGAAGCTGCAGAGCTGCAGTCTCTATTCATTCAACTTACATTGAAAATTTCCAGCTAAACTGAGGCTTATTGAAGATCTCAATTCAATTCAAATTAGCTTTATTGTCATGAATGTGTAACAACAATATTGCCAAAGCATCATACATACAACATAAGAACAATCAACCCCATACATTTCATTAAGCAAGTAATCAAAGCGTAAAGTAATCAAAGTGTATGTGTGTTTTTGTTAACAAAAAAAGATATATTAAAATATAAATAAATAAAACAGTAAGCGTTTTGTTTTTAATAATTAATTGATTAAAAATAATAACTTTTTTTTTTAAAGAAATCAGAATCAAATGTAAAAACAAAACAATTACTAAAATATCAAACGGTCAAAATAATAATTTGAAAATCTGTACAATTATTTGTCAGTCTGAGGTTCCACTGGTTGTCCTCACTTCATGGCATGAGGAGACATATTTTGCAGCAATTATTTCACATTTGGGCATTTCTCCCAGTAAATAGGGGAGTTTCTGTGCGTCTGATATGAATTCGAATTCGGGGCATATTTGGGAAATGTTTGCAAAGTGTTTTTGTCTTAGTGTTTTATATTTGGGGCATGAGGTTAGAAAGTGCAGCTCTGTCTCTACCTGTCCTCTGTCTCTACCTGTCCTCTGTCACACTGGCAGCAGAGTCTCTCCTCTTGTGGTAGCCAGCTCTGTCTGTGTCGACCCTTTTCTATGGCCAGGCTGTGTTCACTCAGTCTGTATGTTGTCAACATTTCTCTTAGTTTGGGACATTTTATTGTGCTCAGGTAATTTGCCAGTGTGAATTCTCTTTTTAGGGTCAGATAACATTGTAATTTACTTTCTGTTTTGGTCGTTTCTTTCCAGTATTCAATATTATTTTTCTTTCTGCTTGCTGATAATTTGGTTTGGTCTGCTTGAGTTGGTGTTGCTGTCCTGAGGCTGTTGGGGACTTGTTACTGCAGAGAGCCTCAGGACCAGCTGGCTGAGGGGACTCTTCTCTGGTTTCAGCTCCTGGTATGTTAGGGCTTTGTGATGATATGTCTGGGGGTTAACTGATTGTAAAATTTAAGTGATCTTTTCTGTATTTTTATTGGCCGAGCTCTGCTCTGCACAGGTTATTTGGTGTCTTGCTCTGACAGAACTCAGTATGGAAAGATTATATGATTGTTTTGTCCGGTTTGTCAAAGTCATTATTAAGTTTTGGCCCCCAGATGTCGCTACCTAATTATTGGTTCTAGTACAAACTGGACAATTTTAAGCCAGATTTCAATTGGAATATAGATTTTAATGTTTCTTTTTATTGCATAGAAAGCTCTCCTTGCTTTGTCCCTCAGATCTTTCACGGCCATGTTGAAGTTCCCTGTGTATGTAATGTTGAGGCCAAAGTAAGTGTAGTTTTTTGTGTGTTGTAATTTAGTTAGTTTTTCAAATTAGACAATGAAGCCAAATGATGAAATATTGAATAGATTTTGTCCACAGCAGAATTTACACCAGAATTATTCTGGTTTTTTGATTTTCCAGTAGTTTTCGACTTTTGGTACGCCCCCATGCTGTCTGGGGTCCATCTGTATGGGTATGTGCTGTTAAACAGGCACTAGGGGCCCCAGACTTAGACTGAGCCCTTTTCAGATTCATGATTTTGCTGTGGTCTGAGAGGGGTGTGAGGGGGCTCACTGTGAAAGTTCTGAGAGACATTGGATCTAGATCTGTAATGAAATAATCTACCGTACTACTGCCAAGAGCTGAGCTGTAAGTGTAGCGACCCAGAGAGTCCCCTCATAGCCCGCCGTCGACTCTGTACAGACCCAGAGAGTCCCCTCGTAGCCCGCCGTCGACTCTGTACAGACCCAGAGAGTCCCCTCATAGCCCGCCGTCGACTCTGTACGGACCCAGAGAGTCCCCTCATAGCCCGCCGTCGACTCTGTACAGACCCAGAGAGTCCCCTCGAAGCCCGCCGTCGACTCTGTACAGACCCAGAGAGTCCCCTCGTAGCCCGCCGTCGACTCTGTACGGACCCAGAGAGTCCCCTCGTAGCCCGCCGTCGACTCTGTACGGACCCAGAGAGTCCCCTCGTAGCCCGCCGTCGACTCTGTACGGACCCAGAGAGTCCCCTCGTAGCCCGCCGTCGACTCTGTACGGACCCACAGAGTCCCCTCGTAGCCCGCCGACTCTGTACGGACCCACAGAGTCCCCTCGTAGCCCGCCGTCGACTCTGTACGGACCCACAGAGTCCCCTCGTAGCCCGCCGTTGACTCTGGTGCAGGGTCGGGTGGGGGGCCAAGAACACGTTGGGTTGTGTTGTCCTTCAGCAGGTGTAGTGAGAGTTTGGCTGGATGTGGTCTGGGTCTGAGAGGTGGGCACAGGGGCTTGTGTGGAGTTCAGTCTGGCTTGTAGACTGAGCCTGTCCCGGTCCTGTAGCTCTTCTCTCAGAGTAGCCAACTCAGTTGTGCAGTTGTCTCTGTCCTTCCTAAGTTCCTTCACCTCCTCACTGAGATGATCCGGCTGTCTTCTCTGACGAGTTAGTTCTTGTTGAAACTCTCTCAGCTGTGATTTGACACTGTCCTGTTCTTTCACTGACAGTAGGAGAGGTAGGCTGCTGTTGGTCCAGCTGCTCTCTGACCTGGACCAGTTCTATTGTTCTCTCATGATGTCCAGGGCCTCAGAGTGCTGGAGCAGGACAGGATCAGTTTCAGCATCTGCAGGCTGTCTGTCTGGAGCAGGGACAGAACAGGACGGTTGGAGAGATGCTTGCGAGGACCTCCTTCTCAGCTCTCAGTCTCATAGCAGGAAAGTCGAGCTCAAACTGTCTCAGGTCTCCTTGTATCGTGGCAGTTCCATGTTTGAACAGGTTTACTGTTATTCTGCTGGTGTCAGAGTCATATTCTTCCAGTGCACTTCTTTTCCTTTTGATAGCTGGGGGGTAGTCGATGGTTTCAGAGTGTGGAGACATCATGAAACAGGTGTTGATCTTCGAGCTTCTGTGTTTAAAACAGCGCTACTGCTGTTTGATGCTGTTGCTAGGTAACCACAGTCCAGTGTTAGCTTGTTAGCTATTAGCTTGAGTGTTTCAGTTGGGACTTGTTTTATGGTAATAAATATAAAAACTTACTGATTTCAGTGTCCAGTAGTTTGCTGTAACTTGTTTATTTTTGTTCTCTCCTTGTTTGTTTCTCTTCAGTTTGATGCTGTTTTCTGAGCTCCTTCTTCAAACTGTATCTCTTTTTCTTCGTTCTCCTCTTTTTCTCTCCTCTGGCGTATTGTGGTCACTTCTTTTGCATTTTCCTCATAAAAAGTCGGTGTTTATCCAATTTTTGGACCAGAAACAAGCGTTTTTTTTAGCAGCAAGTCTCAAACATGACTTCTCAACAACAACAATCTCTCTCTCTCTCTCTCTCTCTCTCTCGCATGCCGTGCTGCCGACAACTGCATGCATGTAGTCGAGTATTTAACAGACTGAAGAGGTGATACACTGTAAAAAATATTTTTATGTGGGAATAAACACTTTATTATATCACCACTTCAACAAATCCTGACTGCATCATAAACCACTGAAGTTTAACAGTGTGTGACTCCCTCTAGTGGACGTTGTGGAGTATTCTGTTGTCTTTGCTCCAAAGGTTTTTGTACAGAGTTTTGGTGTTTCCTGTCACTGTGGGCTGCAGAGCACAGTAGTACACAGCAGAGTCAGACAGCTGAAGCTTCTGGATCTTCAGAGGAACTGATTTTGAGGTGGAATCAACTGTTGATGAAAACCTGTCCTTGATGTCGTCTGCTGTTTTCCCTTCATCCCGTTGAAAGCGGCTCAACATGAATTTGGGGCTGTTGTTTCCATCCTGTTTGTACCAGAACAAAGTTGGACTTGGGTTGCTAGTCTCAAAAGTACAGCCAAGTGTAACTGTGTCTCCTTCAGCAGCAATGACATCTCCTGCTGGCTGGGTCACTCTGTCTTCTCCTTTACACTCTGGGGAAGAAGAGAACATGCAGAGGAAGAGATGGATCAATAAAGATGATTGATTAAAGGAGAACAATCAGTAGGTTTAAAGAGTTACCTAGCCAGAGAGTCAGAATCAGGATGTTTCTCAGCCAGTGGTTCATGTCTGCAGTGAGAGGGGAGGAGAGAGAGGAAGAACATTGATACTCTGATGGATCTGGGCCTTCACATCATTGGCCCTTCCTCTTCATCATCTGTTGAGGAACTCTCAACATTTACATCTCATTTACATCTCAGCTGTTTAGCTGATGCTCTTATCCAGAGCAGCTCATAATGAGGAGCTTTAACATGTGAACTTTCTGTTACAACAAAGTCTCTTTAACCAGTTTTCACCCTGGAATAGTTAATTCATCAACATGGGTCTGTAATCATTTTAGTTTGTCTCATCATCAGTGATACCAAAGCATTCTGTGTAGAAGAAGACTTCCTTGTGGAGTGCCTTACTGTACAGAAATAGCCTCAATTAAACACCATGATCTGGATTAACTGTGTTTTATTAATAACAGGAGTAATGTTGTAACTTGTCATTAGATTGTGTTGTCAGTGTCCACTTGGTGGCGCTGCTGTTCAGTAAAAGGAGGAGCTGAAGTGAGTAAATCTTCAGAGGAGCTGTCAGGTTTTTGTACAGAGTTTTGGTGTTTCCTGTCACTGTGGGCCTCACAGCACAGTAGTACACAGCAGAGTCTGTCACTGCAGCAGAGGAGATCTGCAGATCCATTTGGGTTTTATCATCACTCACTTTAGCAGACCATCTAGACTTTGTTGCATTTTGTGTTCCCAAGTGAAAGATGAGAAACTCTGGTGGTTTTCCTGGATATTGTCGATACCAGAAGAATCGATCTTGACCATCAGCTTGTTTAGAGTATGTGTAGGACACAGTAACAGAGCTGCCTTCTAAAGTGAACTCTTCATTCCTGACTGCAGTGAGTTCTTCACAGCTGACACCTGAAGGAAGAGATAACTCTGTTATTTCATGTTGTAAAAGACTCAACAAATGAATCCCATCCAGAAAAGTTAGTAATGAAACTTTCTCAGCAGGATCTCACATACCTGTTAGAATGGATAGTAACAGTAGAGAAAGTACATAATAGTCCAATGACAGCATGTTGAATAAAGGGAATGTTTCTGCTTTGTGTATTGAACTCTGCTGAATATGGAAGTTCCTCTCTCTTCTATAGTTCACTAACAGTTTAGTTCCTCCCTCAATCTCTCCGTCTCCTCGCAGCTCTGTAGGTTATAGTGGCTTCTAGTGGTAAGGGCTGTGAATTGCGACCTGATATTAACCAACGGCACACTGGCTGCTCCCCCTCCCTTTGGCAGTCCTAAGGAGAATCTACGGTGGCAGATTGGTTTAGTGGTGGTTTAGTTTCAACTCCGGTCTCTTGTCATCACAGCGTCAGCATGCCGTTCAGAATGCAAACTTAAGGATAATATGGAGATGAGACATGTGATTTTTGGTGATATACAGATCAAAAGACGTTGAGCTGTATTCTTTACATGATGGGTGCTTTTAGTGAATTCTCAAACATTTGACACATCTTCACCGTCTGACTGAACACTTGAGTTATAAAGTACTGGACCCACTGTGACCTGGTAAATGTCAGGGAAAAAATACAACCTCTGTAAAATAAGTGAATGTTAAATTAACTTTAGATACATCAATAAGGTGTCTGGTTATTTAGTGGATTTGCTGCTCATGTGAATCCAGTAACACTTTATTTGGACAGTCAATCTGTAGATGCTCTACAGAGTATCAGTATCTCTACTGAATGTCTGCAGACATTCAACAACAAAGTGCCTGTAGTACATCTACACATATTCAACAAGACATCTATAACCCATAAGAAGCATTTAAAACCACATTTGCAACCATCAGTAGCATTCCCTGAAGGTATATTTTCATTTTGGTAATCTATAGAATATCTATAGATACTCAGCTGCATTGCTACAGCACATCTGTAGCTTATCAGTAGCATCTCTGAATGGATCTTTTCATATTTGGTGTTCTATATGACATGTACAGCAAATATTTAGGAGTGTATTCGCAACATCTCTAGTGTATCAGTAACCCTTTCACAACACATGTGATGTCATTCACGTCACCATCCACAGATGTTCCTTGTGACTATCCAAATAAAGTCAAACACACGTGAAGCTTAGTTGACTGTTTATGGCTTATGTACTTCACAATATCAAGTCATCAACATAATCAGTGCATTTACAAAGTCTAGTAATCTTCTATAGATGAATGTCTCATTCAACTAAAGTGAAACACAAGTAAGCTTTTAGTATGTCTGACACCACAACATTTTACTGGCTGTGCAACATTTGCTTTGAGGAAGCATGTAAAACATTGAAACAATGAAAAACAAATCAGATGCTGATTATTTCATATTCTTTATGTCCTTGAAAAGTCTACCAAGGATTCCATGTTTGTGTCATTCAATAAAGCAGAGCTGCCTTTTCAGAGACCTCTCTGTTCGGTTGCCACGTAAACGCCATACCTCCTTCTTGTAGGTCTGCCAGGCCCTCTCAATGTTCTGAGTGTGTAGACCTGTATCTACGTAATGCTGGCTGTGGTTGACCTTCACATGCCTGTAGCCCTCCTGGGAGAGACTTGAATCTGCTCTCCGCTCATCACTTACTACCATACTCTGACGTCTGGTGGGTTTTTTGATGATAGGAACCAACGTATCCTTGTCCCTCCTCTTCACAAGACGAAGGACAGGACGCCTGGAGTTCCCCCATATTTCCAACATTCCAAATACCCACGTCTTTCTCCTCCATGTTTTCCAAAGCGTCCTCTGGCGTACTGAAATAAAAAACATTAAAAGATAATGAGAGGACAAGGAGACGTTTTTAAGAGAAAGTCTGCATTGCCATCAGTTTGATAAAGAGATGAGTGTTTGAGCTGGTTTGTGAGAGTGATTTGAATCAGTAAAATATAATTGAGAGAAGCATCTTCTTCCTACAATGTTGTACATTCTTTATTTTTGTTCTTTTTTCTGTGTGTAAATTTAGTGTAGATATTGCAAATTTAGACTTTAAAACTACAACTTGATGATTAGGTTAGCAATAGAATACATACCTTTCTTTTATGACAGAATTTGCTTTAGTCCATGTGGACGAGAACATCAGCTCCACCGATTCGCTGCCCTTTTTGCTTCCGATGCTTTGTCATGCTTTTAAGTTTCTTTGCCATCCTTGAGAGTGCAGTGCTGCTCTTAGAAATCCCATCTTGCAGCATGTCCACTTGCCGCACACACAAACCTTGTGAAAAGACATTTAATTCATGATTGTGTAAAACATATAGCAATTTGACCAATTTAAAACAACCCTGTATATTTGTTGGATTCCCAGTGTCCTGACTATGCTTTAAACCATCTATAGCTAAAAGCACAACCAAATTCCTGCAGGTCTGTTATACCCTTAAATGGCTCTAAAGAAATATAGCTGCACCGTGAAAAATAAAACGTTATTTTTTCTTGAGCAATGGTAATATCAAATATAAATTCCAAGCCAACAGTAAAAGTATTAAATGCAAAAGTAAAATCAACCATGTCTGATTTTTGTATTGTCATCCAGGTTGACAATGCAATTTTAACTACTTAAACGCACAATAAACAAACATGAAACAAATGTGAAATATGTTAAATTAAATGAAACATTTATCGTTTCCTATGTTTTTAATTTAATGGCATAACCAACCTAACTAGATTTAAAGTTTATAATGCACTTGCATTACATTAAATTCAGTTAGGTTCAGACACAACTTTAGCAACTGTTAAACCAGTGAGGTTTAATAATCGGCAAAGTTGTGTCTTCTAAAGCACAAATCTTTT